AATTACAGTAAAAAATCAAGTGATAGATGAAATGTTTTTATTGCACCTCTTATCTTTCTACTCTCTCTTTTTTAATCTTAATATTTTTTTAATGATCACATCTTTACTCCACTGTAAATGTTAAACTATTGAGAGAAAGATTGTTAATTAGGCACTGCACGCAAATAACAAAGCAAAAAATACCGACTCATTTGTAATAAGCGCAGTTTACAATATTGATAGTACGAGGGGCACACTGAAATGATCGGGAATAAGAAAAACCACATGCACGGTATAGCTAAATTGTATTTTATTGTTTTTAGAAGTATTCTCCGTTCAACTTAATGTACGAGTACTTTACCATTCGTGCAAACCAATCATTAAAACAGTAATTCTAGTCTGAAGTTGATGTTGACAAAATGGCTGATTTGTACGCTTCCACAGCTGCTTCGGGGTCTTCAAACCGTTGACCGCATAATAAATCGTTCATTCTAGGGAATGTAAAGAAATCATTTGGGCTCAGGTCAGGACTGTAAGGAGGATGGTTCATCAGCTCAACATTTTCCTGCTTCAAAAAATCATTTGTCTTCCGAGCCGTATTGGAGCTCGCATTATCGTAATGTAGGATGATGCGACGTTTCGGGTTATTTTTTTCAGAGTTCGGCTATCATTTCTGGCAAACAAACCGTGATATACCACTCAGCGGTAACCGTTCTGCGTTCCTGTAAAGGAATTGTAGCAACATGCCTTGAGATAAGCCGCGACGAAAATTGTGATAAATTATGGCACGGAAATGTTCACGCGTGAGCTCCATTTCTGTTAACGACGTGTCAACTTTAAACCAACATAGTTCTTGTTTTTAAACATTTTTTTAATTGTTTGAATGTCATTAAGATTCCAAGAGGACAGTATTCAAATTCTAAAAAAGGTTTTATTATAACTCAATCCGAAATATTCTATTCCCGATCATTTCAGTGTGCCCCTCGTAAAGAAAATATTTCGATAACTTTGAAAGACAGTTCATTTTCATGTTCAAAGATGAAAGGTTGTTGTGTTTAACGTTGTTCTTTAAAAATTAACTTTATTATTAAAGTTAATTTTTCCCGTGGTCCATTACATGCATCAATTTAGGTAAATAATAAAAATTTGAAATCTCTACACCACGGACAACTAAGATGAATCAAATATAATATAGATTTTAAATGTGGGTGGATTTGTAAAGTGGGTCACAGTGATGCAAAAAAAAACCGCAATGAACTGACGAAAATATTAATTTAATCAACTTTTAACTGGCATTGATATGTATGTACTTTAATAGTCTCTCTTTACTTATAATTATTTAAACTTAACTATTATTAGCAACAACCTACTTAAAATGGCACTTTAATGAGATCAGTCGATTGTAACAATGAACCCCGCATCTGGGGTACTCTGTTATAGTGTATGGGGCACAATGTTACAACATTAAAATAAAAGAAAACAATCAATGTGGGTTATTGTTTTCTGGGGAATACCATTGCCGGAGGTAGTGATGATCCCGTTGCAACACTGCACAACACGTAGTAACCAGTGTTCCTCTTGCAGCGTTCGTTACTTTATTCAGCTGTTTAGCTCCCTTTGCTGCAATATTTTTTTTAGGATTTTGGACAGTAGTTGTTCCAATTTCGTCCAAACGCAGATGGTGCGAAACTAGGGCATCGTCGCATAAGATCTTCCAAATTACTGAATAATATATTCACGTTATGGCGATTGAATGATATTGCGCGCGTTGTGCAAGGTTGCGGTTTTCTCAACGTTAAATCTGCATGCTATTTTCTAAATCCGTATAAGCAATCAACTTCTGCCATCTTTTTATCTTTCCAGTTTTTTGTAATCATGAAATTCACACTTTTTTCATTTGCTGCCTCTCGAAGACTCATCCCACTTTCAACCATCAGAATTGCTTCTCTCCTATCATTTTCAGTATCAAGCCCGTAACCCGTCTTCCTTTAACGATTTCGCACAATTTTCTTATAGACCTTCAAAAGAACAAGAATTAGTTCATTGAGGCTCATTACACAATATATTATACAACATAGTGCCCCATACGAAGCAATCAGAAAAATAAATTTAAATGAGCCTTTTAGGCTATAGGTACAAAAAACTATATAACGATAATTTGATGCTAAATATACAATAAAATATAGAAAATATAGAAGAAAATAACAATCACTTACCTAAATGCAAAACTTCAGAGAAAAAATAGAAAACTTTAACGTGATTTTTTTTCACGTTTTATCACTCAAATCGATTTTTGTTTGATAACTCTGCAACGCGGTACAACCTGTGACAACGACAACTGTATAAAGAAACTGAACTGAAACTGTATACCAACATCAAAAAATTTAAAGACAGAGACAGAGACGGCGATATGTGCATTGTAACAGTGTACCCCGTGTAACACTGTGCCTCACCTCACCTAAGTGAATAAGTTTAGTGAGTAAGGTTTTGTTGATATTTTTAATACATTTTATGTGCAAATGAATATGTGTTTTATTTTACAAACCCGTTTGTTTAATTTTCATTAAATCAGATAGTAGGCAGTTTTAGAATGCAAAATACGAATACATGCACACTTGCAGTGTCGGCTATGAGGCGAAGCGACCCGGGCGTTCGTCCCAAGAGAATAATAGTAATATCAGGCCTGTCTCACTCTGCGCTTTAGGCATGAAAATATACCTAAGCTGCACAGCCCCCTACAAGGGGCTAATTCCGTGAGATTGTCACCCCCTCGCTCCCTTTTTTTTTTTTTTTTTTTGCGGATGGAAAATCATCTAATGACGCCTTTCGCTGTGGGTGGAGCGGAAGGGAGTGTCAGACTTTTACTGACTAAAAACCATCCGTGTTCCTTCAGTGCCCTTACGTTCCGGAGCCGCGGTATCTCTTTCGAACAGCCCGCAGCCTCGAACAGCCCGCAGCCACCCCCTCGCTCCCTGACGCGCGCCTTACGTTAACAAAAAAATATTTAATAATAAGTATTTAGGCACTTTTGATATTTATTTTTGAGTTTTTATTCAAGTATGGCCTCCAAATGTATCAGTAGGCGGCCGAGAGGTCTACTTACACTGAAATAATTTTTTAAGTTCATTGGCATTATACGTGAAAAATCGGAAACTGCGAAGCTGTGGTCGGGTCACTCAAATAATTAATCTGTAATTATGGCGTCAGTAACTAAGTACCTAACTATCTAGATCTACCTATAAATAATACTATATTACTTTTCGCTATCCTTAGGAACAGTAAAGAATGAAAAGTCAACGTTTCTATTGTTATTTAAGCACCCGTATGCTATGCAGTACCTTTTGGCTTTTCGAGAGGCCATACTTGAATTAAAAGTCAAAAATAAATATCAAAATGCCTAAATATTTATTAAAGAAAAATATTTTTATGTTAACGTAAGGCGCGCGTCATCTCGAGCGGGCACGTGGCAACCTCACGGAATTAGCCCCGCGTACAGGGCTACGTAGCGTAAGTATATTTTCATGTCTAAAGCGCGGAGTGAGACAGGCCTGCTAATAGTAGGTCAACTCCTTTGTTATACCGCAAAATACCTACGAGGCTGTCTCGACGTTAAGTCGCTAAAAATATGCAAGAGTTGTCACAAAAACATTTCCTTATATAATAATATCATAACATTATATTTTATCAGTATTCCTCGTATAATTGATTTTTCTATACAAAGATAAACTTATTACTACTTTACAAAACTAGTTGCGTTCCGCAGCTTCACCTGATTCGTCCTGATGGAAACAAAGGCTTGTGCTGGTAGGTGCCTACCTAATTTTACTATATTACCTTTATAGCAGTATCTCAGGTATTCCGCTTAAAATATTTGATAGGGGGTTGAAGAGCATAAATAAAACAGTTTAAAAGTATATATTGGTTCTGTTTATTGAACCGCCTCGCTACAGATCTGCAACCGACAAATATATACGACATTTATTACTGGGTTTTTTATTGTCTTTTGTTGAATTTAATCTTATAATAAATTCTCATCCTTTCATATAATTCAATTAAAAATCGTAATGAAAGCAATCACATGGTTATTAGAATTCAATTTTACTTAAGGCGTCACACAATCTTGCCGAATATTTCAAAACTAATATCGAGTCATATTGCTGCGTGAACCCCAAAAGCGTGCAACTGATTCAGTGTACGTAAGGCTAGCCGCACACACACAATAATATTGTCAATGCAAGATTGTCAAAAATCTTCATCAATATATGGTCCCGCACACTATGCAATATTATTGGCAATTTTTCATGGTACAATCTGACTTAGTCGCTCTGCAGCTAGATTCATTTGTGCACGTTTAATATAATGGATAGAAAGAAAAAAGGCGTTGCATTGAGTATTGCATTAATTTTACTAACTAAGAAAAGGCAATCAAGAAAGAAACGATGGATTAAGGACTGGATGAGAAAAAAAGCCGAGTTAAATCACTTTAATCTAATAAATGAACTACGAGTTACAGAAGAAAATGATTTCAAAAATTATATGAGAATGAGAGATAGCAGCTTTCAAAAACTATTATCTTTAGTTTCACCTTATTTAAAGAAAAAAGATACACACATGAGAAAATCGCTAACGCCTGAAGAAAAGTTGGCAGTTACTTTACGCTTTTTAGCGACTGGCAGAAGTTTTGAAGACTTGAAGTACTCAACTTTATTATCCCCAAGGGCTATAAGCGGAGCAGTTCTGGACACTTGTAACACGTTAATTTACGTCTTGCAAGATAATTTAAAAGTAAGTAATAATTAAATATTTAAACATCTAAGCTATGTATTTGGTAATCACTAGATACTTAGATAATAATAATTATACTATCAATGCTATGTATGTGTATTTTGCTGTTTTTTGCAATAAATACACTTTGTTTTTGATTTGAACTAAAACAAATAAAATATTATAATCCTTTTATTAATACAAGTAGTACTTGGTAATAAATTGTAGTTTTTATTAATATATGCACAAAACACTTATTAGGACTGAAAAAAAATTGAAATATCTTCTTTTGGAGTATACTTGGCATGTACGTCGCCTTCAAATGTTATAACATTAGAAGTTATATTATTATTTTGTTTATTTTCTTGTGATATTGTGTCTTGTGGACCATACCCAAACTGTTGCAATCGTGTCAGTGGATGCCTTAATATTATTTGAGATGGAATACCGGTGGTTACAATTGGTTGATGGTGACTTTGAGTCTTGGACAATATCTGTGGAGGTTTCATAGTAATAGTATTATCAATATTATGTTCATTGTTAAATATAGAATGTGGCGAAGGTGTTAAATTGTATCTCAAAATTGAATCTTGTGTGCTTGGTGATTGACTAGGTGATGGAATATAGTTTACTCTGGGATGATATAGTGACTGTCTAGGCAGCAAAGGCGATGAAGTATATGGTACATGCTCATTAACTTTCACTGAGTTTTTGTTTAATTTTCCAAGTTGTGCCTCAAATAAAATATCGTTAATTGCCTTTTCCGCAAAAAGTTTTTGTGTAGACTCCAGTTTTGTCAATTTAGCGGCCCAGACTTTGGCAAGATGATATTCTTCTTGATTATCAGAAGAATCCTTCTCCAAAAACGATAAAGTCCTCTGTAAAAGGTTTTGCTGGTCATTTTCCTTTTTTCTTTTCTTATTTTCCGATACTGGAGTTGGAGGTGGATCCATTGAGCTAATCGAATAGCTATATTGGTCTTGATCATTTTCTTTGTCTTCCTGTAATATATAAAGACAAGTAAATAAAATGTTAATAACAAGTTATGATAATGTTTATTTCTTTTATTGTTTTAGACACCTTCAACACAGCAAGAGTGGAGAGAAGTGGCCGATGATTTTGGACGCATTCATGGATTCCCTACATGCTTAGGCTCGCTAGATGGCTAGCACGTGGGGATTATTATGCCCAAAAATGCAGGCTCACGTTACTTTAATTATAAAGGATTCCATAGTATAATTTTATTGGCTTTAGTAAATGCTCGTAAAGAATTTATGATGGTTGATGTTGGTATCAATGGTCGGATATCTGATGGTGGAGTCCTGTTCTATTCAAAATTTTGGCAGTCTTACGAACAAGGTCTACTTAACTTGCCTAACCCAATTAATCTTTCAAACAAAATCAAAAAAAATCAAAAAATCAAAAATCTTTATTTCATTAACTTAAGTCTAAAAATACAAGTTTTCTATGTTTGGAGATTCCTTTTAAGCTAAATAAATTGCTTGTTTTAGGAAACTCCGCTCTTCCAAAAACACTTTTACAACATATATTTAGACTACTATGTTAATGAACTGAAAGACTACATACTAATTATTTAAATAAGATATGCATGCAATTTTTACTCTTGTGTGATTTTTACTCGTGTATGTGTGTATGTGTATGTGTGTGTGTGTGTGTGTGTGTGTGTGTGTGTGTGTGTGTGTGTGTGTGCGTGTGCGTGTACGTGTGCGTGTGTGCTCGCGCGTGTGTGTGTGTGTGTGTGCGTGTGTGCGTGTGTGTGTGTGTGTGTGGTGTTTCTATACTATGTGCGGATGTAATTCTATGTTTAAAACTTAATCATGCTCTCTACTTCCTCATAAGTTAGTGGCTTAAGCCAATTTAGGACCAGATCCTTGCATTCATAAGTTGTTTTGGTATAGATATTAAGTGCTTTGTTGGCCTTATTATATAGTTGACATGACAAGTTTGCGTGTTGTTGTCTAGCAAAAAATGTTTTACATGTTTGCATTTTAGCTACTGAGTCAATCCTTCTTCTGGTGAGTATAGAAGTGTCAAGTGGGAGAGATTTGTGTTCTTATTGGAAGCCGTATTGTGAATCTGCCAATATGTTGTATTTTTTTAGGAAGGTTACCAGTCTTTTATTAATAAGCTTCTCTAGTATTTTGGACAGTGAAGGAAGCACCGAGATAGGTCTGTAATTATTAACATCCTCCCTATTCCCACCCTTGTGCACCGGGGTAACAATAGCTCGTTTTAATAAGCTTGGGAAGACACCTTTCCTAAAGCAACAGTTGGCTAGGTGACAGATGACTGGGACCAGTATATACTGAGCTAGTTTCAAAAAGCTAGCTGGAATATGGTCACACCCAGGAGCACTGTTTGATTTCAGACTCATTATAATGTCATTTACCTCTTGGTGATCTGTTTCCAATAGGCAAAAAGTTGTGAGTTGGGTCTTATCCACAAGATGAGTTGTCAGATCATGAGGGTTATTCACAGCTGAGATACTGCTAGCTAGGTTCTCTCCCACGCCTGCAAAAAAGTCATTGACATAGTCAACTGACTCCTCCGGGGTTTGTTTGGTTGTCAAGAGTTTAAAATTTCCAGTTTTATCCTGATTCAAATGTGTGATGAAAACATGACACACTTATTTCCTTACGTATTTGTGGCTGATGAAGCGTTCGATTTGGGCCCAAATTTGATGAAGCCATACTCACAGAAAAACTGCAGCTCTAATGAGCTGATATTCAATCAAAAATTATCAAGGGCTCGATCAACGGTTGAGTGTGCTTTTGGTATCTTGGCTAAACGTTTTGGTATTTTTCAAAAAGCTATAAATCTAGAACCAGACAAAGCAACGAAAATGACTTTAACCTGTTGTTACTTACACAACTTTTTAATTAAAGAAAACGCTTCCCTTTATTTAAACCAAGAAAAGGAATCACCATCAGTCAGTATAACTAATCTACAGTCTACTCAAAATAGAAATGCAACTATAAATGCTAAAATAATAAGAGACAATTATTGTCAGTACTTTTGTAGTTTAAATACCTAATCTAAGTTTTTTGTACTAACCTACGGAGAGTAATTAATAAACTTATTAAAAAATATAAACTAACCTCTATAGTTTTTTTTATTGGTTGTTCATCATTTGTTAAAAACAGCAATTCATAATACGTCCACGCAGACGGGACGTAAACCTCATCGGTTCCCTTTCCTGATGATTTCGATTTGTGAATCTTCTTTAACTCTTTCCGAAAATTTGTTCGCAGGGCATTTAATTTTTTCTTGAGGTCTTCTCTCGTGCTATTTGGTTTCATTTTTTTATAAATATCGAGCAACTTATCAAGCGCATTATTTTTCCTTACTTTATCGCGATATGATTCGCAACATGTATTCCATAATTCTGGATAAGTTTCCCATGTTTTAATAAATATTGACAAATATTGATTTTGCGTGAGAATACTAATATCAACATTGTTTTCGTCCTCCATTTTGAATAAAAAACGAACGTCCGCCTTCCTTGAAATCTTTTCCTCAACTAAAATATTGCCGCGCGCCCGCAAACGGCAATATTATTGACAATACCCCTGCCTCCCCCCGATATTGACGAGACAAAATCAGAATTTCTGGATATCAACAATATTATTGAACAATATCGCAATACAGGCCGCACACGCACAATATTATTGACAATACGTACTTTTTTGTCAATATTATTGCGTTTGTGCGGCTAGCCTTACACTCCTAAACGAGCGTCAGGGTTGCCAGAAAGGTTCTGAAAGAAACCGCGCGACCTTACGAAAAAACCGCAAACTAATGAAAACCGCCCAATATATTTGAGGAATCTATCAGACAGAAGTCGTTCACTCGAACGCGTGAAGTGACAGAAGTCGTTCATGCGTTCAAGCGTTCCACGTTCGCATTCTGCCTTCCTTGTGTTGCATTAGGTACGTTACATAGACATACCCAGACAGTAAGACAGCAGGCATTCCGACCGCGTCGGTTAACCAGAACGCACGCGTTCGCACGTTCACTGCTGTTTCGGTATTCACATCCGAACGGATAAGGAACCGAGAAGTTGATTATTTTAATAGGAGAAATGTGTTTTTATATGATGTAAAGAATGATGATCACAAAAACCGAGGAAAGTAGCAGAAGCATGGTTAGAAATTGCCAGACAAATGGGGACTAAAAATTAATTATAAAAATTTATTTATCAGTAAGCCATTTACAAAACAGTCTATAAAATTCTCCATCTTGTTCTCTATTCTTATTTAGTGGGTGCACCCAATTCTTTTTTTCGTTTTAATGCTGCTAACGTCCACAATATCAATAATTCGTCTTCCAATTAAGAACTATAGTCAAAATACATGGTGACTGTAGCGGCACGGCGTAGACCGTCCAACAGCGGGATTCGTGTGCAACTCAACTGAACGCTCGAACGCAGAACGCGAATGTAGAACGCTTGAACGCGTGACCGTTGACTCTTTATTTATCGTTTTTTTTTTGTAGCTTATTAGAAAATATTAACAATAAATATACGAGGGCGACAATGAAACTTTTTAGAACTGGCCACTTGTAAACGATATAATAAAAAATAAGTTCAAATTTTGAAAATGGAACTCTTTGCCAATATTATTGTGTATGTATTTTATTAATTTGTCATTAGTTTACAATTAGGTGGCAAGTTGAAAAATGTCTGTGTCACGTCAGCATAAATTTAACGCGACAAAAATTTCGTACAATGATTTTTTATTACTTTCGATGTCATTTAAGTCAACAAGAAAGTTATGATAAACTTCGATTGGCCTTTCACGATGATGCTCCATCTCGTGCCATTGTTTACAACAAAAAACAAACTCATTAAACCGAGTTTAAACATGGTCGCACTAATCTCACCGATGATCTGCGTGAGGGACGGCCTTCTACGGCGACGACTGAAGGTAACATCAGTGTTGTACGGCGTATGATAGTGACTGAGAAAAGAGTGACTTATCAGCAGATTCGGACAAGCTTAGGCATCGCTATGAATCAAGTGCACAAAATCCTCCATGAACATTTAGCAGTAAGGAAGCTTTTGTGCCCGGTGGATACTTCATAATTAGACAGAGGCCCAAAAACTCTGTCGTGTTGATTGGTGTCGTGAAATGGGGCAAAGATTTAACGGAGGTGACTCAAATGCTGTATTCGATACACTTACGGGTGACGAAATCTGGATTTATTGTTATGATCCTGAAACTAAGAGACAGTCTGCTATCTGTGTGTTTCCTTCCGAGGAGTTGCCAACTAAAGTGAAGAGAGGTCGAAGCGTGGGAAAAAAGATGGCGGCCTCGTTCTTCGGAAGGACAGGTCATTACGCAAAAATTGTTTTAGAGGATCGAAAAACAGTTACTGAAGAATAGTACACTAACAATTGTTTGCCACTTGTCTTGAAAAAGTTCGGGAGAAACCACCTCGCAGTGGGATCCTCCTTCACCATGACAACACCTCGTCGCACACCGCCAAGCAAACAATCAACTACTTGGCGACGTCATCATCGACGTTTTTGTATCTAATTTTTAAAATGGCAATATGAAACAACTCGTAATAAAGATACAGCGATATCTTTTTCTCGCTTTAATTTTACATGCCTAATCCACACATAGATAAAATTATGGTTGTGTGCAAGTTTCTCGTGCCTCCACTGCACTACTCGCGAAGTAGATCGAAGTTGGACGAGACGAATAGTGTTCTCGCTTCGGGTGAGTTCCGATCGCTGTCGGTTTTTTGCGCCAGAATCAAAGGACTTCGCGAAGTACCCCGAAGTTACACGAAGCGTCTGACCACACTACTCGGCTTACGCCAGTTATGAATATTTTTTTTATATATAAATATAATGTAGCTATATACAACATGTAGCTTTCTACATAATTATTTATTTAGCTAACGCATTGACGTCGACTGTTCACAGAATTAGGTACCTATAGTAGTTAGTAGCTGCCTTTTGAACGTCATTCATGTTAAGGGTGCGGGAGACTCAAGACGTCTGAGCTCTTCGCGAAGTAGCACGAGTGTGTGGTCACGTTCTTCGGACTGCGATCGACTTCGACGAGCACTTTGTCAAAGTTACTTCGCGAGTAGTGTAGAGGAGGCATCGGATTTCATACAGAGTTGCATCACTGCCGCACCCCATCGTTGCTCCGTGTAGCCGCCGAGTTGACTCACTATTAGTTAGTAAGGTGCTTTGGGGTAAATACGACATATTTTCTGATTAGTTGATACGATGCATATGTGATAATTATTTTTAAAAAAATCTATCTAAGTTTACAACCAACTCAATTCACTTTTATTTATTGAAATACATATCCCAATTATTTTTTTATTCATCTTAATAAAATGTCTTTGCGTTGCGTAAATACAATCATTTAAAATTTGACATGTTTTTCTTCTGGATAAGGTGTAATTCCGATATAACGCGGGGTAAAACCGATTTTTTTTAAAGTGTTCCTTTTTTACTTTCGACAGAAGATTTAGATTTACTTTTCGTTCGTCTATACCCCTCTACAAAAAGCATTGATACATACTTAATGTTTCTCTGACCATTGTCTGATCCGGAGTACGGTGCCACTCACGGTCCAATCGCAGTCGCGATCTGCAGCTTGCCGCCGTGTTTGGCACTATAGGTCAGCTGATTGGGACGGGATGCGGTCTTTTTTTGCATCCTACCCTTGGGGGCGGGTTTGCTTCTCGCCGGAAGATCCCAGCATTGTTGCCGATTCTGTTGCTGATGTGGTACTTCAGGGTATGGAACTTTTTATTCCATCCTCTGTGGTGCCCATCGGAGGCAGATCCCAGCCATGGTTTGGTCGCTTCTGTAAAATAGCGTCACGCTATAAGCAGGAGTGCTACCGGGCCTGGGCTGACGCATCAACGTCTCGGGATGTAAACACCAGCGCACTTAAAAAAAAGTATAATTCCGCTTCCAGGTCCTTCAAAAGCGTCATTGCCAAGGCAAGGTCTGAGCACATCGGCGCGGGTTCGAATCCCGCACGGAACAAGTATTTGTATGGCCTACAAATGATTGTTCCGGGTCTGGATGTTTGTCCTTGTGAAATTTGTGTTTGTAAACTGCCTCCACGATACAGGAGAAAATCCTAGTGTGGGGGTAACGTTTTTAAAAAAAAAAAAAGAAAGAAAAGGATTGATGTCGTTTTGATTTCACGTTAGCTGTCATCTCTGAAATATACTCTCGGGTAGAATCTACTAGCTAGTCTGTGATATACTCATATCCCCACCTAAGGGTATTAGTGTTCTGTGCTCATATCACCTATAGCCTATCGGGTAGATTTATTATGTAAAATAGCTAAAATGTCTCGAAACTAGTAGGAAAGTAGGGCAAAAAAGTTGTATTTTTTGATCAAAACACGAATAAAGTGTATTATAGATTGTGTATGTGCTTTTTTGGTCCTAAAACAACTAACGTTCTTGTTGATATTTGCATATCATAAATGCAGTTTAGGAGAAAAAAAATGTAAAAAGTACTACCTAATTATAGACAAGAAGATTGTTCAGATAAATCAACGGTGCCTACGCACAAAATTATTTCATTGCATTCATTAGTGTGTACCTACTAATGCACACTTCACCTCAATTTAGTGCCAGAAAGCTCAAAGTCGAGATTATATGTTAATAGAGGGTAACTCTGTTTCTCTACCCTAAAAAATCCACCCTGAGATACTACTTTATTGCACTAATCTTATAGAATATATTTAACTTATTGTACCTTAGAGTGGTTGTTTTAAGTTGGATAAGCAGAATAATCCTGAATACTAATTTCTGTTCAGGTATATGTGTCTATCCGGGCTGCTGAAGTGCTAGGGTACAATCATAGATAATATAATTTATTTGTTATATAATATGATACATTACAGTTGTTACAAAAGAATTAAAATTACAAAAGAAAAAAATCCAGCGCAGAGCGGCTCGAATCGTCGACGACCGAGTCCTTTCCGATCGGCTCGACTCATTGGCACTGCGAAGAGATGTTGCATCTCTTTGCATTTTCTTTCGCATTTACGATGGGGAGTGCTCTGAGGAATTGTTCGGAATAATCCCAGCCGCCAAATTTTACGAACGCACATCGCGGCAGAACTCCCGATACCATCCACACCATCTGGATGATTGGCGGTCCACCACTGTGCGATTTAGAAGATGTTTTCTTCCTCGCACAACTTCCTTGTGGAATAGTTTACCACCAGCGATTTTTCCGGACCGATACGACTTAGGGACCTTCAAGAAAAGAGCCTACTCCTTTTTAAAAGGCCGGCAACGCATCTGCAATTCCCCTGGTGTTGCGGTTGTTCATGGGCGGCGGTAATCACTTACCATCAGGTGAGCCGCATGCTCGTTTGCCCCCTCTCCTATAAAAAAAAATTGGCATCCTAAATATTCTACCGTTTCCGGCGTACAAATATTTTCATATAACAGGCCCTCAGCGTGTCAGAATATGCCT